ATAATGCCAATTTACATCATGAAGAGGATTGGGATAACTGTCGATGAATTGACTAGCAGTAAACTCCTAATCCAAGGCTTTAACCAAAAGGGCCAACGTGCAATTGGCAAGATCCGCATCAATTTCCAAATCGCAGACATGGCAACCTCAGCTTTGTTCCATGTCATAGAAGCTAAAACATCATATGAGCTTCTTTTAGGACGAACATGGATTCATGAAAATGGGGTGGTTCCGTCAACTTGGCATCAATGTTTTAAATATCATTCTGATGGCAAAACAAAATGTGTTATGGCTGAGAAAGAGCCTTTCACGAAAGAAGAGTCCCATTTTGCTGATGCCAAATTTTATGAAAAGGAAGAAGATGATTTTGAAGCTCTTCCTATCAAGATGCCACAAATAAAGCAAAAGAATGACGGAAAAATCGTTGTTCGCCCTATAAAAGATCCATCTTCAAGTTCTGAAGTTCATCTTTCAGTAGAGGATGTGAAGGTGCTCAAGGAAGATCTTGTTCTTCCATTGTCTACACTCTCTAAATTGGGCATTTCTAATCCAATTATAAAAGAAATGGTTGAAACAGCCATAGAACATGAAAAGCAACCTCAAGGATGGTTTGATCCTCGTGCTCAAATGTTACTAAAAAGGGCTGGCTTCAAAGAAGGAGAGTCTCGGCAACTTGGGGATTTGAACTCTATCCTCACCGGTACTCAAGCAACCCAAACTGGGAAGGAAGCCATGTTGAGAGGAGAACCTGTGCCAAAGCAGAGGCATGGGCTTGGATTTCAATCATCTAAACCTGCAAAGATCAAGATAAAAAAGAAGTCAGCAAATCCAATAACCATCCAGATTTTTGAAACCGACGAGGTTGAAGGGACTCCACAACTACGAGTTTCAGCCTTGGAAAGGATTCAGCAAGAAAATATCCGAGTGTCAGTTTTTGAAAGACTAGGGCCTGCTCCTTCACTATTGACAATCCAAGAGAGTCATTCTCAAAAACCTTCAGTCTTTTCTAGACTTGGTGCTAAACAGCAAAACAACAAGAAAGCATCTAAGAGTCAGAAAATTCAGAAGAAAAAGAACAAGTCTATGCAAAGAAAGAAGTATCAATGGAGGCGTAAAGACGTCCTTGATGGGCAAGAGATCTCAAAGCCTTCCGTTGAGGAACAAAAGGCAGCTGAATCAAACCATGTCTCAATTGAGAAAATTTCTGACTCTGATTCTTCAGATGAAGAACCAAATCCAGCCCCAGAAGCCTTTGAGGAGGGGGGACAAGCTACTACTGACGAGCTAAAGCAATGGAATTTGGGTACAGAGGATGATCCCAGACCCATTTTTCTTAGTGCATCGTTGAGTTTGGAGGAAGAAGTAAGATATGTGCAACTACTTACTGAGTACAAGGATGTGTTTGCATGGTCTTACAAAGAGATGCCAGGCTTAGACCCAAAAGTAGCTGTTCATCGTCTAGCCGTGAAGCATGGGGTACGCCCAGTGAAGCAGTCGCAGCGGCGTTTTCGTCCAGACCTCATCCCACAAATTGAAGCTGAGGTTGATAAGTTGATTGAAGCCGGCTTCATTCGGGAGGTCCATTATCCATCCTGGATTGCGAACATTGTTCCAGTTCGTAAAAAGAATGGACAACTCAGGGTATGTGTAGATTTTCGTGATCTAAACCAAGCGTGCCCAAAAGATGATTTTCCACTTCCGATCATAGAGCTTATGGTGGATGCAACCATGGGGCATGAAGTTTTGTCCTTTATGGATGGATTCTCTGGTTACAACCAAATTCGCATGGACCCTAAGGATGAGGAGCTTACAGCTTTTCGAACACCAAAGGGTATTTACTGTTATAAAGTTATGCCATTTGGGTTGAAAAATGCCGGAGCCACTTACCAGCGTGCAATGCAAATGATTTTTAGTGACATGTTGCATAAGCTGGTTGAATGTTATGTCGATGATTTGGTTGTTAAATCTGAGAGACGTGATGACCACCTCAATGACTTGAAAGTTGTGTTTGAGAGACTTCGCAAGTACCAGCTAAAAATGAATCCATTAAAATGTGCCTTTGGTGTTTCCTCTGGCAAGTTTCTAGGGTTTATTGTGAGGCATCGAGGCATTGAAATTGATCAATCCAAGATAGAAGCAATTGTGAACATGCCACCCCCAAAAAATCTTCGAGAGCTAAAAAGTCTTCAAGGCAAGCTAGCTTACATTCGGAGGTTTATTTCAAACCTTGCTGGACGGTGTCATCCATTTAGCAAGTTAATGAAGAAGGATGCACCATTTGTATGGGATGAAGCATGTCAAAATGCTTTTGAAAGCATTAAGGAATACCTCCTTCACCCTCCAGTTCTTGTTGCACCCGTTCTTGGGAGACCATTGATCCTTTATATTGCTGCACAAGAATATTCCTTGGGAGCATTGCTGGCACAAGTCAATGAAGAAGGAAAAGAAAATGCTCTCTATTATTTAAGCCGTACTCTCGTAGGGGCAGAGGTGAATTACTCACCCATTGAGAAGATTTGTCTAGCCTTGATCTTCTCTACGAAGAAATTGAGACATTATATGTTGGCTCATGTTGTACATCTTATTTCAAAAGCAGACCCTTTAAAATACATCATGTCAAAGCCGGTGCTCTCTGGTAGATTAGCAAAATGGGCACTATTATTGTCTGAATTTGAAATAATTTATGTGCCACAAAAGGCAATAAAAGGACAAGCCTTAGCTGATTTTCTTGCAAATCATCCAATTCCATCTGAATGGGAGTTGTCAAAGGATCTTCCAGATGAGGAGATGTTCTTTGTAGATGTATTGCCATCATGGGAGCTTTTCTTCGATGGAGCATCAAGAAAAGATGGTGCTGGGGTTGGCGT